CACACCATCCATCCGTGGGACGTAAAAGAATTGAAGTAGAAATCAAAATTCATTGAACACGATAAAGCCAAAAAACAAAAACTCACAAAAGGTGGGAAAAAATACACATGAATATTAATACGAAACTCGATGCCCAACTTGGATTTCTTCGGAGATTACAGGTATCCAAATAGGAGATAAATCCAAACTAGGCTGGCTGATAGGATTGGCAAGTAGTGCCATGTGTGCCGCCTCCTTGTATTTTCTGTAGACGGTATTGGGTTCTGTTAATAACACTCTGGCTCCATCCCAACAGACATGATGATCTTCGTTCGCATGTTGGGCCAATCTGGATTTCTCCAGCAGGCCCTGTCACACTCTCCGTGGTTTATTGAGTTCCATGAGACCCAGAACAGTCGAGAGACAGACTAGGCAGTGTGTATATGGAATCCCGTGTGATTGTGGTAGATGGTATATCGGCGAAACCAGCAGACCTCTGGAGGTACGCATAAAGGAACACAAATATAATTTCAGACAGGGCCTGCTGGAGAAATCCAGATTGGCCCAACATGCGAACGAAGATCATCATGTCTGTTGGGATGGAGCCAGAGTGTTATTAACAGAACCCAATACCGTCTACAGAAAATACAAGGAGGCGGCACACATGGCACTACTTGCCAATCCTATCAGCCAGCCTAGTTTGGATTTATCTCCTATTTGGATACCTGTAATCTCCGAAGAAATCCAAGTTGGGCATCGAGTTTCGTATTAATATTCATGTGTATTTTTTCCCACCTTTTGTGAGTTTTTGTTTTTTGGCTTTATCGTGTTCAATGAATTTTGATTTCTACTTCAATTCTTTTACGTCCCACGGATGGATGGTGTGGTGATGTCTTTTTATTCCGGGACTTTCACCTTTTTACTTTGTCCGGAGATAGGTATTAGCTCTATCTAGTGGGCCCAACTGTGTAGGAATCTGAAGACGGAGATAGAGTCCCATCTCCGAAACGTCTTTTTTTACGTTTTATATTTACTAGAGGATGGATAATATCCAAGAATTTTTTTATTCAATTGACTCTTCACCATCGTCAAGAAGTTTTAGATTTGATAAACTAATAGGTTGGTTAATATTGTGTACTTCATCATTCTGTGAGGTATCAAAATAAAAAAAAGCTGTATACTGACAACCTTTAATCACTTACTGGTTATTATTGCAACAGATTAAAAAATTGAAACCACATGTGTTTCAGCCCAAGAGGCCATTATCAGTCGACAGTACATGTACATTAGTTCAACAAGTATATGCACCATGGTAGTATTGTTTTAAAAGTTAAATTTAAGATGTATCAGTTTAAATAAAGTAAAGTTCCCAAATTGTCAAAAATCATGCAAATATATATATAACACGTGCTAGCTACTTTATGTTTGTGTGTTAGCATGTGTGTCACTGCTGAGAAATGTACTTGGGCTTAGGATCACAGTAAATTTGTGGGTTAAAAAATCCCACATAGATGCTCTTGTTCAGGAAAAGTAACTTGTCATCTGCTGGACTATGTCCATTTTCAACGTATTTATGTCATAGCATGTGGCTGGCTGCAGGGCGAAGCTTGCTTGTTATGACATAGAGCATCATGGTAAGGTTAGGTTCTTTGTTGATGCATTCCACCATTTGGTAGGTAACAACGTTGTATTGTGTTCTGTTCCAGCCAATGGAAGTGTTTGCAGTCATAACTTCATGTGGTGTAGTCTCTCTTTGGAATTTTATGTTGCTGTGTTATGCTACTCTTAGGTTTGATTTCACACCTCAGTAATGATATAATTACTTCTCAACTTGTGGTCTCAGATTTTACAGATGTTACCTATTCTGGGTGTTTTCTTGTGTAAATGGTAAGAATCCATTGTACAGTGACTGATGAAGCATGCAATATGAATTCTTGCCTGATAAACATCCAAATTGTAGGTCAAGGATCATTCAGAATGGAAAAACTACAAACACAAGATAGTGTCAGAATATTACTTTTCCCTGGCAGTTTGGTTGTTGATATATAGCGTTGTTTAAGTTGCAATTAGTCTCATTTTTTGTGAATGGCCCACTGACAGTCTTTATTAAATTGTTCAAAGTACATATCAAAATTAATTTAAATATTTAGAAAAATGCTTCAAAATTTTAAAACTACAAGAAGAGCAGTTAACCAATAAATTGGTCTTTTTTTAATCTTGTGATGTTTCATAGCCACCAAAGTATCTTATAAAACATGAATATCTTATAGCCATCAGAAATGTTAGTAGGTTAAAACATTTAAACATACATAATTTTCTGCTAGTGGTACTATTCTATCTAAAATGGTGATCATGAAGCAAAGTTATGTGATGTAATGCGCACTTTATCTTAAAGTTACAGTGGGCCAACTAGGGATACCAGTGCCATGTCTTAAAAGACACAGTGGGCCTTTAATGGTTTATCATGTGGATTTTTTTTACAGATAATTGCTTACACAGTAGGTTGAAGGTGTACAACAGGCTGCTTGATAGCTGAATAGCGTTGAATACGTAGGTTTCAGAAACATGATTAATATGATATTCTGTATGAAAATTAATAGTTGGAGTTGATCCTGCTTTTGAATGCTGCAACCATGTGGAAGTTGAAATGTTGCTGACATTTTGGAGAACCACACTGCCTCTATCAGTGCTCTTTCCTATTGGCCTGGACTTGGCTTCATCTCTCCCATCCTCATCCCTGTCTCTTTCCATATCTCATGACCTGATTTATCTCCATTCCTAATATAAATCAGCTGTTTCTTGACATTCCCCTCTTCAGCCCTGATCACGCAAGCAATGTAGTTCTCTGATGTGTTGACAAGTTAGCTTATACATGGTTCCAGCATCCAAAAATAATGAATCACCATGAAAGTTTAAATATCTACATTATGGTTGAATTTGAATGTAAATTAAATAATAATGTAGTGGTGATGCTACAGACCAGATGAAGGAAAAAATCAATAAATTATTTTAAAATAATACTAATATCAAGAGGCATGGTAATGGAATTTCAATTAATAAATATTGTTATTGTTGTTCTCTTAAGTAATAAATCAAAATTGCATTCATGTAGAGCAGAATAAATTTGGTGAAAGCTTGCTGTTATACAGCTTGGAATCTGTAGTCTTCCCATTGGCTATATAAGAAAATAATGTGTTGAGTAATAGCCATGACATCTCATCAGTGCTGCATGGTCTCTTCCCCTTTTCCTGTAAACCCCAATTAAGAATTACAAGTAGTGAGCTTCAAAGCAATGTTCACACACAAGTCTAGGATTTCATGCCCTGCCCTTTCACCTTTTGAAAGGATACAGTAACCCTCTTATGAAATTTCAAAAAGTGAGTAGACTGAACTAGCAACATGGTGTAATTTATAAAAACAGTGCTGGTTTTAAAGAAAGGTGAATAAGTGATGGCTAGGAGACTTGAAGTATTGTTGAGCTTGTGGCAAATGAGACTGAGTCTTACATGTTGAATCTGAGGACCCTAGCAATGGACACCTTACTAGTGGATGAACAGTGAACAGTCATAAAGACATTTATAAAGTGAAGCTTTTGTAGTAACTGAAGTTGATGAAAGACTCCCAGCAGTGAGCGCATGACAAATGATTGGACTGTTTACCAAGCAGCACTGAGGATGAAAGCAGAGATTGTTCTCGAAATGTTGGCAGAAGATGTGGTTTATTCACCATTCAGCCACCTGACATGGGTTGTAACCTGGGAGTCCTTCATCAATCACACAGACAGTTAAGAAACAGAGAATATTTATCTTGTGGCAGCACAGCATTGCACATAGTTTAGTGTTCAACACCCATGAATTCACTGTGTGAACAGAACTATAACTAATAGAGGATAGTTATGTCTGGTAATAATGTTTCAGTGGTTGCTGATGCAGGAATCAAAGATTATTGATTGTAATCATATTTGTAATTGCAACTGCATTAATGTTAATAACCCATCTTTGTTACAAACTCACCATGTACTGACCAATTATGACACAGTAAAGATTAAAATATACAGAAGTGTAATTTTATCTATTGCTCTGTGTAAGTGAAAAGGAATAACAAAGATTGGGGGTGTTTACAACAGGGTATTTAGTTGAATATTTGGATCGGAGATGGATGGTGTAACAGCAGGGTGGAGAAAATTACATACTTTTCACCAAATAATATTGGGACAGACAAGTGAAGAGAATGGGATGAGTCTAACATGTAACATACATGGGGGAGATGAAACATAGACAAAGAATTTTAGTTGGAAACCCAGAATGGAAGGGCCCATTCAAAGGAACTAGGCATGGATGTGAGAATAATGTTAAAACCGGTGTTGTGGAAGTAGAGGTTGGTGGTGGGGTTTGAATTAGATTGGCTCAGAACAGGGACTGGTAGTGGGCTCTTGTGAACATCGTATGTGTTCAATCAGCAGGTTCCATAGGAGATAGTGATTTTGTTTCTTCACTGAACATACTATTAAATTCTTAAAAAGAATTCTGCTCCAAGGAATTAATTATGTAGTTGATTTGTTATCAGATGCTATAAATCACTAATGAGTTGTTCTAATTTGTAATAACATAAGAAGAAGGACCTAGAGAAGCACTAAAAGAAAATAACAGAAATGAAACCAGTTAACAAAGAACTTTATTAACTTTCATTAAAATGCTTACAGTGATTATGTGAATGTGGTATATTTGACAAATGTGGAATTTGTTACGTTAGGAAATTGTTTTAGAAAACTTTCTGTGTAAATATTATAAATTCAAAAACATACTTGAATAAGGTACTTGAGTATACTTTTCATTTTATACTTGTTGATACAGAAATGTATAAAATAAATAATATTATTTTTCATAGAATAATAACATATTATGTCTTATGAAATCTTTGGATAGTGTTTTGATATTCAAAATTAGTAAACATAGAAAAGAAATATCTTATTGTTCACATTTGTTGACAGATTGCCTTTGTGCAATGTAATTTTTGAATGTATTATGTATGTGCACATGACAATCTACAACACATGAAGTAATGGATCTGTATGGTCTCACTTTGTTCACAGCTCCAGAACGTCCAGAAAACTTGCGGGTTATAAAACAAACTCCTCATGCCATACAATTAGCATGGCAACATCCCAGCATTACTAATGGCCTTCTAAGGAAATTTTTCATAAGCGTAAAATTACTTTCATCGCAGCTACGAAGACAGAACGGAAGCAGGGAACTTCCTGAAAAGGAGTTTACAGTAAATCATCCTATGAATTATTCATATGAAGTAAGTTAATCTTGAAATTTACACTTCCTGCAAAGATTCATCAGTATTTTGTGCTCCTTCATATGCTTGTTTCTTTCAACACAAGAATTTTTCTTCTACCACATAATGTTATTTCCCTGACAACTTTTTATTTTGGACATAGTCTTGCTGCTGCATCTTTATTGGAGTAGACTGTAATTGTTAAATTATTTAATACAACTTTTATTTATAGGCCCTTTAGATTTCTGTACGTTGACTTGAAGAAACATTTATTGTTAGCTTATCCCTATAGTAATATACACAATAAAATACCATTAATGTGCCACAATTTGTCCACCACCAATATTAGATTTAAGCAGGGGTTGCAGTGAATTTAAAATATTGTTTTTGTAGAACATCTTCAACAGAATGCTGATTGATGGTTTACCCCATAAAATGGAGAAATATTTGGCAGTATTTTCTTAGCTAGTACCAGGATGTTTTTTCTTTGAATGCACACATTTCTTTTCTTTTTTGTCAACACTTAAAACTGCCCTTTTACACTCGTCAGTCAAACACAACAGCTTGTGAATTAAACTGCACCGTTCCTGTGTAGTATTTAACTTCCTTACTCTGATAATCTTTGTAACTCATTTCAAACTAATGTGTGTTTTCTTGCTGTGTATTACATATTCAGGGTGTGTGAAAAACTTTCATTCTGAAAGAGTTCTATGAAAGGAAGCAGTAAATTTTTTAACTGTTCTTCCAGGATCTTGGATAACTGAACTCTATATATCTTTTTCTGGGAAAAGTTTCCAATTTGTATTCATAAACTCTCCCAGTAGCAGGCTCATTTACTATAATTGCTTGGGTTTGGAATGCCATTATTTACATTGCTGACACAAAGTTACAATGCCACACACTCCTTAAGTCACTGTAAGTGCTTTGTTATCTGAGTGGGTTTTATTTGTTAATGCAAAACTACTGGTGTATGACATTTGTGCAGCTGAATGTTTCAGGGAGTTGTTTATATAGCTGATATAAGCAAAACAGCATGACACTAGATTGGACTTGATTATAATGTATAATGATAAATTATATTATCACAAATTTTGGCAGATTTTGGCTAGTTAGGGTGGAATTATACAGGGGCAATCCTTTTGAAATTATGTAGGGAATATTCTCTGTAGACTTTCATGGATGCAGAGTGAGGGTGGCAGTTGATAGGCAGTAACTGTTGGAAATGGCAGGACACACCACAATACATGACCTTAACATCAATAAATTCAGACCAGAAGGAGCAATGAAACTAACCAAAATGTACTTGTGTGTAGGATGAAAATGGTCAAACAATGAAGTCACATCTTAGATGAGATTGTAAATGGGTAGATGCCTAGCTGACCTTGAACTGCAAACATTTGTTGATTTTTGTGCATCCTCATGCACTTAATCAGCTAGCAGCCACATAAAGTACAGTAAACTACAAAGCAGGATTTCAATAGACGCTCTGTATTAAAGATGTCTTTAATTCATGGCCATAATCAAGACCTCCTAGGCCACATTGAGCCCCTGGGTCTTATAAGAAGGTTAACCTCTTTAACTAGTATACCTGGGCCTTTTAAACTCTCTGGTTAGGGTCTCCCTAGATGTAGGTTCTGCCATGTAAACTGGTTTTTATAAGCCCCTGATTCTATTTTGACTCTTTCCGGTTTTAAGCTTCCTCTTGGAACTTCCAGATAACGTCCACAGATTATTTACCATTACAGGTGAAAGATCTGCAGCCATCATCAGAATATGAGGTGTCTGTTCGTGGGATGACTGTCGAACCTGGTGAACCTGCTGTTATAAAGTCTGTGAAAACATCGTTGGTTTTACCTGACATTGGTTCACAACTTAAACTGGTGGAAGATTATACAGCTAATACCACACTTCAGGTTATTATTCCACCTGCTGATCCGTTTCTTACTAAAGAGAGGTGAGAAATTTAATTGAAAGGGATGTGTAAACACTGAATTATACAGACAGAAATGAACTCCAATTTTGTCTTAAATATGGAAGTGCTGTGTGTACCTGAAAATAATGATAAAATACTAAAGCTAGTATTCTTGCAGTGCCATTGAACTGAATTATCCTGTGCAAATAGTCCTGTATCTTTGACTACTGTAAAACTATTTTATAAATAGCACTAACATTTTGAATAATATGGGTGCTGTAATCATCAGACCATAAACATAATGGCAGGTATTTGGGATTTAAAATTTAAATTGATTATTGCTGGTGTTGAGTTAGGACAAGGAATCTCATAGATTCTGAAGAAACAACACCAAGATCATTTAGTGAGTTCTTCTGTCATGTCATGTTCCTCTACTGGTCTGTGATTCTTCTTATGCCTGTCAGGATCTGACGATGAAAGGGAGAATGCATCAGAATAGGTCCAATGGAAAATGAGGTTTAAAAAAGCCAGGAAAGTTAAATTTCTGAACAAAGAATGATGTGTATTCTTAGCCAGTAAACAATTACATGTGAATGAATATAATATTGATCATAGTGACTGAATTTATGAAATAATAACATATAAAACACTGTCATAGATTTGCAACACACTAAACCCTTCACTCCCTTTTAAACTGGTCAAGTACAACATACATCACATTATTCTGCTATGGTACACCACAAAACACACAGCTCAGGTAAGGTGATATGCCACAGACATATATATATACACACACACACATACATACACATACACAATGCAATACTCACAAATATAAAAAGAAATTGTTTACAGATACAAAATACACCTGAAATCATGAAGCAGTTCCAGGCATTTCCATACATATTAACCACTTTAAGTAAAAACAATAATTTATCCCAATTTTTATCATTATTTGAGACAAGAAGAAGAGAAGGAATAAGGGATACAGTTCCAGTGCGATGACTACAAACATCCATTAATGAACATTTGGTGTGAAAATGTGACTATGAATAATTACATTAAAAATCAACATTACACTACAGGATGCTACGCTATAAGCTTTAATAAGAGAGTCTTGCAATTGATTTTACACATTCTTCCACTGAATTTGAAGGTCCTGTCTGTTTCTCAATGTAGACTGAAGTGGATTCTTTCCTTACTGTGTCAGTCATATTCAGTATGCAATTAATTCTGTTGTCTTGGTTGTTAAGGTAAACAATGCCCATGTCAATTAACAACCCCTATTTCTAACCTGCACTGTTGAGATCTAATAATCTCTGGGTTAGAAAAACACCAAGAAAACATCAATTCAAAGATTCGAAGTTTAATAAAATTCTTTCATAATAATTAAACCAACTGTCCCACATATCAGTCTGCTTACATTGCACTCACTCTGCAAGTTTTTCAAACTGTATTTTTCATTTATTACTACACATAAGTGGTTAAAACTAGTAATGTGTGACAGCCAAATTTAGAAAACAAGAGGGATACACATATTACATTTGACACTTTCTGAGTAAAATTGATGTAGAAGAAGGAGATTTATAATTTTTTTACAAAGTGTATGAAATTCTTCAGATTTCCTTGCTAATTTTTGTGGGTTGTCTGAATATGTGACTTTATTCTAAAAGAAGTTAATTTTGCTGCTTATTCACTGTGTTTTCTTTGTCTTTTATAGCTCCTACTTTGTGGTTGTATCATCTGATAAGGAAGAAGTACCTGCTTCTGTAAAAAAGATAGAAATGATGGAATTAATTCTGAAGACAGCAAATGTTATAAATGGTGGGCATTCATGGATTGCTGCAGAAATAAAGGTTAGGTATAACAAACATCTACTCCAAAATTCAACAAAAACCTCCACACTTAACGTACCATACATAGTAATAAATATTTCATCTCGTGTGGAGGCTATACAAGTACAAAAAATAATGTTAAGATTACGTTTTTAAGTATTCATTATGATTAATTAGTGTGTTGACAGTTTCAAAAAACCAGTGTTGTTGAGTGAGTTATAAACAAATTAATCAGTTATTTAATCAGTTTATGATGCCCTCCATGTCTTTAATCCCCTAACCACCATTCAAGTGCCAGCATTAGACCAACAATTTTCCCTCCCAACTGGCACTGCAGTAGTTGGTTTTATTACCTCAGCACAAACCAGTATCACTCTGAGCAACCATTAGTGACCCTTTGTGTCCAAAATAATATTTCGTTTGTCTTGTTTTCTTCTTTGTAAAAACAGGATTTTGAATGATTTGAGATTTGAGGTTTTCACAGTGGTGAGTATGAAGAATTCTGTCTTCTGGGTTGTTGCGCTGTGTAGACTACACAGCACAACAACCCAGATGACAGAATTCTGATTTTTAATTATTTTTCCTTCTCCATTATTTTACTAATTGGACAGGTTGAATAGTTCCAATCTGGATCAGTAAATCTTAAAATTGGCTTGTAAATAATTTAAATTTCTCTTCTGGTTTTATAGCTCTAACAGTTTCTCGATATATTTTTGAGTCATGCAGAACCATTTCATTCGTTGCAAGTTTCAAAATGCTTTTTGTTATATGATTATATATTGAATAACTCAAATTTCTCAATTGTCTGAGCTATTTGGCATACCATTTCTGGTACAGTTTTTTCCCATAGATCAACAAAACCTCCAAATAAATTACTTATGTACTAATTTCTGTTGTTTTCAACTCACAATAGCTGTATCTTTGCTCAACCATGCAGTTTCACGTGGAAGTGTGTCTGTTTGACAAATTGTGAGTCACTGTATGTAGCGGTAATAACTATTTGCCTGCCAGCTTATGTTCATTCCCTCTACAACAGACCCAGAGGGTGCACCATGAGTAGATACTGATGCATGACTAGAGGAATGGTGACCTGAGCATGGGCGATAATGTATTTCTTATTCAAAGACATTGGCTCTTCACAGGTCTCCCACATTCTATATGTTATTGTTAGTGGTATCTTGTAATGACAAATGTTCTTGAAACCACACATAGTGCAGGATCTTGCTCTTCTTGTATCTTCTATCTGCAACAACATGGTATGAGGCAAATGTGCTATATAGTAAATCCTAACCACACATTCGATCTCGTGTAAGGGAATATCAGGATGGAAGGAAGGTAATTTGTAAACTCTCTAATGGATTTTATTCAACAAAAGTGTGAGGGTATCATAGAGGAATACAAAAATGTGACTGTGAACTGACTAACAAGTGAGTATGAAATTTTGCCAGAGGAAACACCAAAAGCAATTATGCCTTAGACAGTTTAAATCAGGATATTATGTGAAAAATCTACAAAACGCTTTATTTGGAAAATAATATCTTAAGATTCGAAAGAGTTGGAAGTTGTTGCATGATAATAAAGGTATCGGGTCTTTTCTCAGGTATATAATTTGCTAGTCAGAACCATGTTATTTGAAGTCCACTATCGATTCATATATTTTCAAGCTGAAAGGAGAAGACCACATTGTCTGAACAGTGCAGTGCTTGGATGAATGGAACTAAAGGAAAGCTCCTGTTCCTGGCAAATGGGTTCAGATTTCAGTAAGGTGGAATAAATAAATTAAAATGTTCCATGGAAAGCCACTGAAATAGTGTTATGTACCTTGGACATCTGTCCTCATTTCACATGTTTTCTCTGTAATTAATAATTGTTGTGCAAGTGAACTTCTCACTTAGTTGTGAGAAATTCTATGATGTGGTCATCACGAACCAGAATTCTCTTGAGAATGTCAGTTGCTCAGAGAAATATCTCTGTATTTTAATAATGAATGTTCCGTACCAATATTGAGAAGGTGAATGTGTGATGCTTCTGACACAAAGCATGTGTGTCTTGCTATCATGTTCACCCTACAGAAGATTAGCTGTCTCACAGCAGAGAAGTGAGCCATATTCAACCTATAGGACATTGTGCATTTATTCACTTGAAATTCACTCTCTGGGAGCATGAAGAAAGTCAAACATAATTCATTTAGTCATATGAGTGACATCCCTAGAATTATTGTATTATAACACAGTATACATGAGCTAAGCTATTTTCAAAATTTTCTATTTCAGCTTCAGTGTGAAAAAGAAAAGGCAGTTCAGAGTTGATGATATATCATTGTCGATCTGTGTGTTTTTGGTGAAAATTACAGATCTTTGTTGAAATTTTTATAGCATGTTTCAGCCTGAAGATGAAGAAATGATTTTCAAAGTTGGTGATAATACAACAATAATATCTGGCACTTCTGATAATGTCTACTGGAACCGACCCCTAGAACCTGGCATATTATATGATGTGACTCTGGTGGCACTCAATTGGCAGGATGGTGAATATGAGTCCAGTTTTGCAAGCCTGAAACTTCCTGTTCAGACTCTGTCTGAAAACGAAGGTGGCATGGGTGCTGAGTGGGCTGCATTGCTGCTGTTACTGATAATACCAGTAGCTGCAGTAGCTGTGTACTTTGTTATAAGGTCAGTTTTATATTAAACTCATGTCTTAAGATCCCCACAGAATAGCATCCAATACCCTATTAGTGGAAAGAATTTATATCTGCATTATGTCTTCTCCTTCACATAAATGCACAAAATAGTACTTTTTTTATACTTCCTGGCTTCTCTGAATTTATGCCAATGCTCAGTCTAGCCTTGGCTTGTTTTGACACCAGGAATACAAGATTGTTTTTTCAATGCCATTAACATCTCCAGAGCAGTATTTAAACTAAAGTCTTGGCAATATAAATGTAAGGATTTGTTCCATATGAAGATGAAAATGTCTTAAATAAATTACATTTGTTTTGAATAACAAATTTATCATAAATCCTGTGCTGAAGTGGGCTACGATACAATGTTAGGATTTTAATGCTCACAAGCCAATGAATCTTTCTTCTGATCATGACTGTTGTTACTCTAATTAATACTAATATTTTGTGATTTTCATTTGTACATTGTACCTGAAATTTTTGTTTCTTACAGGAGGTGATAGGAAACTGAACAATCTTTTTGAGTTTCTTTTTATGTTTACAGAAAGCCAAAGCAGACTGAGCCTATTGAATTGATATATGAAGATGCTGTTGCTGGTAAGTGTAGTACTACATTGTATAAATCAATGTAAGAAATATCAGTTGACTTTCTTCATGTTAAAATAGGAGTCTATGGTGAAGGAATGTAAAATCTATCAATCAGCTTAATGTAATTCAAATATTTAATTCCATAATCAAAATGTCCACCACTGCTTTCAGTATAAATTAACATCTTTGGTTTATATCATCCCACTTTCAAAGGTGGTCGTCACTAAGTTTCTTTCTCTTAATATGGCAGAGATACTTCAGGTTTCCTAAATATTTGAGAATTCTGCTCAGTGGAATTAGTTAAATATTTGGTTAGTAATTTGCGAAACGTATTGTGACATGGCATAGTAAGTGTCAAAGGCTCGAGCTGGAGCGGAGGGGCCGCCTGACACCCTTTCCCTATCTAGTGGAAGCGAACTGTAGGTGTGGCCGCTACGGTATTCCCCTCCTGGAGGGGGGTAGAAACTACTAGAAGGGGGACCTTCCCAGAAAGCGAACCATCAAGATTTCCTGGTCTTGAACCTTCGGTGACTGGGCCTTCGAATATGAAGGATCGCAAGAGTGCTCAATTGCGAGGGGTTAGTTAGTGGATAGTGGAGTTGACGGCGAAATAGTGAAAGAGTCGTGTGTGGGGTCTGTAGTGGAAAAGTGCGGATTATATAAAGAGAGTGTGGAGCCATCGAGCGGTCTGGTGTGGCACTGAGCGAGAAGAAGAGGATCGGCTGCATGTGAGGAGCACTGGGTTCGCGGACCATGGCGGTTGAGGAGCCAGCGTGTGTCCAGTGGGTTGCTATAGGCTGAAGGCTGCGTGTTGAGAGCACCGGGTTTGCAGACCGTGGCGGCTGAGGAGCCTGAGTGTGTTCAATGGGGTGCTGCGGGACGACGAGTATGAGGAGCGCCCAGTTCAGGGACCAGATAGGCTCAAAGGACATTGCATGTGAGGAGTGTGTTTGTGTGTGTCAAGCATAGAGACAGAGACGCAGAAACTGCTGTAGTAGAGAGTTTCATGTAAGTGTAGATTCTTTAAACTGGTTTAGTATAGTTTATAAATCGGGGTTGACAAATAAAGAGCGTCCCAACACGTCACAGTATATCCCATCTTCTTCAGTTGTGTTTTTATGTATTACTGAATAACTGCATGTGACTTGAGATGGTCTTCCTTTCAAGCACACACAACCACATATACAAGTGTGCACAAGAATATGTACATAAAGCCTCTCACACTCACACATATGAACTTACACTTACATACACATACATATACAGACCATATACGTTATATCAACTCTACAGTACTCCATTACAATATTTTCACAGATGCTGTATAGACAAACCAGCAACTGGCTCTTAGTCACTAAATTCAAAACATACATTGTGGTAGTTCTGTATTTCCACACTAGGCATTTGAAACAAGGCTAGGATGAGAGGCTACACAATATAAAAAATACTGAAAACACATCGATTGTTCAACCCATAGAACTTCAAAATGGACAAATAAATTTTCATGCAATTTTTTGTAAGGACATTATGAATTGGAAGACACTCTAAATTGTACATCTTAATTTTCCACATATGGTAATAGAAACATGAAGGATCTTCAAACATTTGAGATGGAATGATGATCATCTTTATTGAATTTATTACTCATCATGTTTCCATCTATCACTTCATGCATGAACCGATTGTAATGTTGTACTTTGTCAGTATCTGCAATTCATGCTGCCAACCACCACTAGCTGTCAGATATCACACCCACTATAAGTGGTGCCAGGGTACACTCTTGGATCATTGATACAGGTGACTTCATTACATGCTACCCACAGTTTTATTTCAGTATCAATATCCAGTCCATGGTCAAATTTTAAAGAATATTACCTGCATCAAAATTCTTTTGGCACTACTGTTTCTTAAAACTGAGCTCCAAATTCATCCAGTTTTTGTTCTGTTAGTATTTCATGATTACAGTTTGTTATTCTCTCAAGTAGTGTCCTAGCGATTATTATACATTCCCAATTTTCAGGAACACAGACCAAATGCATGAAAAATGTAAATTGTGCTCTCCAAAGTTCATCTTTCTACTCTTGTTAAGTCTTATGATACTAAAAAAATAATATTGGGGATTATCTGGTGGTTGTGCCAGGGCATGATCTTTCTGCTGTGAACAAATACTACATTATATTCCACCTTTACCTATTAGTAATAGTGAGATTGCATTGGTTTTGTAGAGCTAAGCTGACACATGTACATACAGGAGATGCTGAAAATAGCTCCTGTTGACTCAGATATATTTTCCACACCTTCTAACTGATTCCGGCTCACACGCTGTTGTTATCTAAATATATGAGGCACCTGAATAAGAGTGATTTTTCTGAGCTTTCCCATTCATGGATCATTTTATAGCCTCTACTTTTTACATACCTCCACTGGCTTAAGATGCCAATTAAAGAAAGTAAGTCTGACTGCTGAATCACATGGTTATAGTGTGAGTGACGTTATTGTTTGGAAGGACATAGTATCAGTAATTTTGTAGTAGTTCACATGGCCCCCTTTAATACCATAGTGTTGTATGTGAAATGTTTAAGGGACAATCAGTTGTTGAAGCTTGGCTTCACTTTCATCCAACTTCTGTTTTATTAATACATGTCAGTATAATTTTTTTATCATGTCATTTAACAAAACAGATGTTCTTACTGTTATGAATAATATTTGCATTGGGAAACAGAACTCAGGAAAAAAAATTCTTAATTTACTCTGACTTTTTGTATTGGAGTGAAATACCACTATAAGATTAATGACATCAAATAGTCTTGTGTGAATTTATCTCTCTCTTACTCAAATAGAATCTTGAACAACACTGAGTTAAACTTGAATAAAACTGGGCAATACGAAAGTAAACGACTTCCTCTTGTCACTGCTGATAACTTGCAGCAATTTCAGAAAACCGATTAAATGACCACAAACAGTGGCGAAGCTGCCATATATCCCCACTGTGTAATACAGAAAATTTTTCCTAGCGTAAAATTCAGATCTGAATGACAAGCACAATCTTTCATTAATGTAAAAAATATTAATTTTGTTGATCTTATGGTTCACAGAAAGACAAGAACAAGAAGCTGATAGAAGTCCAAACGTTCGTGGAGCAGATGACCCAGTATATGAAATAGTGGTATGAAAAAAATCATGAAATAGATTGCTATTTTCAAAAAGAAGGCATGTGGGTGAAAGGTTCTCAGGTAACTACCAGAATGAATCCCCAGTGAATACCTCTTAGTAATTTAATCATTGAGACAGTCAAACTCCATTCATGCAGTGGACGCTGACTTCCAGGAAACTCTACCATCAGTGACGTTATTCACAAATGTCAAATATTGGCTGATGAAACAAACTGCCTACCGTAGCTACTTACACTTCATGTAAGAGACAATTCACAAATTGAAGATACAGAGGCAATAACAGAGCAACAAACTGTAATTTGTATGCTATTCAAACAATTTCTAACTTACTTTTGTTCCCATATATATTGTATTATTTATTTATATTATTAAAATACAAATAGAGAAATCTGAATTGTATTTCTGGGTGGCATCCTTCAAAATGGACACAGTATGGATCTGTGAATGTTGCCAGTACAGAGTACTGCTATGACCACATTAAAATATAACCTTCAAGTTTTATAACATAGAAATATCACAAATAGGAAGTAGCATTCTTGCTATCGCCACATAATTCAGTGTTGTGCATGAGTTTACTCCATAGTACAAGATACGTCTGATACCACTGTCTTTGGAGATTGATAAATAGTAATTCTGCCCATTAATTTATAACATTATATAAAAATGTATTCAAAGGAAAGTTATATACATTTCCACATGAAATGTCACAAGTAGAAGACAAATTTAATTCCTTTTATCTAAACATCTAGTGACAAAAACTGGTTTTCATAGCCCAGTAAGTCTTTTAAGAAATAGCAGTTATATCACTAGCTGGCCAAATGTAGACATCTGACACAGGATGCACTGCATCATGTAACTTGGCTTTGTGACTGTCATATTGGGTTCTAATCCACTAAAAATTGTAAGTGTGGTTAAAAAGGTTGACCATATTACCTTCATAAATTTCCTTGTCAAGGTGACCCCTTTAATTTTTTTAAGCTAATTTTTATGCGGCCTCACACATAAACCAGCAGCTAAGATTCTTAAGCAGAAATTACTTACTTAAGTTTGGCTAGACTCCGTATGCTTTAAATAAGCAATGAGCTCAAGGCTGTAAAGTGCATCAAAAACTTTGATCCGATTTGGCATATTTGAACTATATATTAGACAATGACAAATGGTCCTGAAATATTTTGATATATTTCTTTAAATTAATTGTAGATTGATTATAACATGATTTGTACAGTGCAGTTACAACACACATTTGTGTTCTTATTTGGGGATTCTGTGCAATTAAATTAAATTAAATTCATTTATTTGAGTGCTTGGCAACAGCCAAAAAGGCCAATAACAGCCAAGCACTAACAATACAAAAAAATAATAAAAGTAAACATAGCAATACAAAAAACAAGTAATGAACTAAATATATAAATGTACAATATAATAATGATAATAAATCAATTCATTAATTTATTGCAAAATAATGAACAGTAAATGAGCTAAATAATATGCCTAAAAGTGAAACATTAAAATGATAAACAAACAAACAAATGAACTAATTATATAAATGTACAATATTCAATTCCATTCATTTATTTACGTGTTTGCCAAATTAAATACTTCAATTCTATAATTAAATTCTTTATTTAATGTACTCACCAACAGCTGCTATAGCCAATTACAGGGCAACACAAACAAACAAACAAAATACAAAGACAACACAGAAAAAGGAAGAAAAAAAGACATTAAAAACTTAATAGATAACATAAAAAGCAAATTTAAAGTACAAAAGTAACAAATAAGGTCCACTCTAGGTATTGTCCCTTATGGAATAAGTGTCATCAAAAGAAACATTGATTATACCAAAAATGTCCAAGAATGTACAAACATAATTAGCAGCAATGACACACCTGGCTGAAGGACTGTGTCTAAGCGCACCGCACACGCAAAACGTAGAAAATTCTCTTATTTGCCTTGACGGCACACGAATACCAACAGTATCCATAATGGAATTGCAATTTGTTTTGCCCTTAAAAACATTAATAAGAAATAAAGCATCGAGATGTCGTCGTCTGGAATAAAGTGTTCTAAAATTTAACGTAGTTAAAATCAACTCATATTTACCTGAGGTATTAAACTGAAAAAACCGGTAGTTGCACAAACTGGCAAATTTCCTTTGAATATTTTCTAATTTATTAGAATCAGTTTGTGTAAGATTATTCCAAGCGACAGAGGCATACTCAAGCTTTGGCCTAACTAAAGCATTATACAAAACAACAAGACTGTCTAAAGAGGAAAAATTATATGTAATAAATCGAATAAGCCCTAATGTCCTAAGTGCCTGAGAATAAACAAAATTTACATGAGAGTGAAAGTAAAGTTTACTGTCTAATAGTACACCAAGATCTTTTATACAGTCAGTACGGGAAATTAAAATACCACTTACAAAGTAATTAAAGTAAATACTGTTGGTTTTCCGTGTGAACGATATAATTTTTGTTTTCTCAACATTAAGTTCCATAGAATTATCTTCACACCACTGATGTACAGAATCAATATCGGCTTGAAGAGATTTGCAGTCATCCACAGAATGTATGTCCCGATATAGTTTCAAGTCATCAGCAAATAAGAGAAATTTCGAGAACTTAATTTTGTCACAAATGTCATTGATAAAGATATTAAATAATAGAGGTCCCAAGGTAGAGCCTTGCGGGACTCCAGATAGCACCGAGTAAGGAGAGGAAGACTGCCCTAAAATACGAATAAAGGCCGATCTGGATGATAAATAACTTTGGACCCACTTGACGTACTGAGAGGATAGTCCAAAATGATTAAGCTTTCCTAAAAGAGAGAAATGAGGGACTGAATCAAAGGCCTGTCTGAGATCGAAGTATACAGAGTCAATCTGCCCCTGTGAGCAAACAGAAGGCTGAACATCAGTGAGGTAGGAGACTAAATTAGTTACCGTGGATTTAGATTTGGAAAAACCATGCTGACTAGGGTGTAACTTAAATTTGAAATAAAATGAAAGATGATCATGTACAATACTTTCCAAAATTTTGGAGAAATTATTTAAAATCGAAATGGGCCGATAGTTAGAAACTAAGGCACTGTTGCCTTTCTTAAAAATCGGCACTACAGCGGCTTGCTTCCAAGAAGCGGGAAAATCCCCTCTGAGTAGACTGAGGTTAAATATGTGGCATAAGAGTGGAGTAAATATCTCGGAACAGCCTTTAATAATGAAATTTGGAATCCCATCAGGTCCGGCGCAAGTCGTCGAGCGAAGACGACAAATCGCCCGTTTGACATCTGCATCGGAGATGGATGGAATATTAATAAAATCAGAGCAATTATGACCAGAATTATTCTGAGTGTTAACACAAGAAGAAGGTTTGAAAACACAAGAAAAATGGTCAGCAAAGGCTTCGGCAATTAATTGAGGCTCCGTAATAATTCTGTTTCCAACTACAATTTGGGTAACCGACTGATCCTTCTTTTTGAATTTAGAAATATATTTCCAGAAGTGCTTAGGTTGAGATCTTAAATTTGCATCGATTCGTCTCAACCAAACCAATCTATCTGCCTTAATAGTTATTTTAACTAGTCTACGATAGTAGGAGAAAATACTATAATCATGATCAGATTTAATTTTCTTAAATTTCTTAAAATACTGATTTTTCTTCTTGATATAATATATAAGAGAACTGGAAAACCAGTGAGGATAGGCGGAATTCCTTGGCTTAACAAGAGGGACAGCAAGGTTAATAGCCTCAAACACAGCGGCCGTGAGGTTTTCAACTGCAGATTCAACAGAATTCTCTTTAAGAATGCATGACCAGTCAGTGATTCGCAAAGTCTCGTAAAGTAGCAAATAATCCCCTTTACTAAAGTTACGTCGAGGAAAAGTAA